TTGACTGAATGTATCCACTGCCAGTGCCAATGGATGTGAGACTAAAATAGATGAAACTTGACATCATTATAAGTGGCAAAGGCATTGATGTGAGGAATGCCCAGGAGAAAGAAAAGCCATCAAAAAACATGACAGACCACAAGATGAACATGTAAAGAAAGAACCCAAAAGAGGAGATCAAGTTTTCGGAAACACAAAGAGTGAGACTGAGTGCTCCACTGGTAATTCATGTAGAATAACAAGTTGAGTTGTCCAAATAGACTGTCACCAAACAGCCACATACCAATGGAAGAAAATTATCCAAATCTTGATGAACCACTAAGAGCTCCAAAAAGTTGACAAGAAGGGTCAATTCCTCCTGGTTCCATTGACCTGAAGTCTTGAAAGAGTTGAGACAAGTGCTCCAGCTGTCGTGAAAGCATCTGTAAAAAGATGAAGATCTGTATATGAGGGAAGAAGTGGAACACCCACTATAGTATTGGTCCTATCAAGCAACTACGTGAAACTGTCATACAGGGAGATGGGAAGATGGAGATGGAATTCCGAGGAAGGTTTCACTGATCACATGAGTCTACTATAAAATTTCATGTGAGCTAGACCCAAGGGGACAATGGGTTCCATGGAAGCCTAAGTCCCCCTCCAAAAAAAGTGAACCTCACATGCAGGAAAGAAGAAGAAGATATAGCTGTGGAAACCAAGCTCTCCATTGCCCACAAATGAAACAGAGAAGGTTGTGCCTTGCTGAGACAGGAATCCCAAAATACACTAAAATGAACCAGTTACTGGATGAGTGTGTAATGAGACTTCTTCACCTTGACCAGCCAACCTAGATGAGCCATCTCCTAAAGAAGAGGAGTATGGTCAGAGGAATCATGTTAGGATGTAGCTAAAAGAAGTCAGTCATCCATATAATAGTGGATTCTTAATTCCACACCATGAATGTGACAAACAAAGTTTGGATGCTGGGGAGATGGATGTGTGAAGATAAGCATCAGAGACATCCACCTTGGTCATCCAAAGCACCAGAGAAAATGACCAATGGAGGGTGAGAAAACTCTCCATGGGAACTGAGGAATGTTAAGAAACTTGTTGGAACATGAAATATCTGTGACCAGATGCCAATCCCCAATTTTCTTGGGAATGACAAACAGACAGGAATAAAATTTCTGAGAAGAGTGAGAAACCCTTTTGATAGCACCCTTGTTTAAAAGGTCTGACACCACCTCAGAGAGAAACCAGCTATATACAGGGAAGAGAGGAGAAATGAAAGGTAAAGCCTACTGATAGAACTTATAGCACCCAACAGTCATCCATAAAGGAAATCCATAGATACACAAATTGAGACAAACATACTCCCATTGTTCCTGAGCCTAATGGATGTTCACTGTTGAGACTGTCAGCAATGAAACCTATAAAAGTGGAAGAATAGATGGGAGAAGAGAAATGGGAAGGAAGAACAGGGAGCAGAAAAGAGTCGGAAGGATGGGAGACTGGAATTGGAAGAGAAGGAACTCAGGAAATATGAGACAGAAAGGTAGTCAAAGAAAAATGGTGATGCACAGCCTCAGCCCGTAACTACAAAGACTCAGGTACTCCACCAAAAACCCACTAGTGGAAGAAAGAAGCCAGATAAAGGTTTCTGAGATAAGAGGGAGATAAACTTACTTGGGCAAGAAGGGCATCCCTCCCCAACACATCCCAGCAACAATGTAATCAAGTAAGAAGGGACAAGACTGAAGAAGAACATGCTAATATACAAAAGGGAATGGAATGAATGCATGCTACAAACCCCTCAGGGGAATGGTGGATTGTTTCCAAAAGGAGAATAAAAGGATGGAGAATAAATAACATTAGAAGGAAGTGAGGGTAAGATGAAGGTAAGAAATTGAGCTTGAGAAAGCCAAACAGAGGACAATGGATTAGAAACCCAAGCTGAAGAAGAGACTCCAGAGTTTGAAAGTTTAAGAAAAGGGCTTCAGCTCAATTATAAGCCAAGGAATATGTGCAAAGAATCAAGAAGGATAAGGCATACCTGCACCAGAGTGAAGTTGAGACAACAAACATTTTTCAACATGGATTCATACATCAGGAGGAATACATAATATTCTGAAGAAGAGAAAGAATAATAAAAAATAGGAAAGAGTGGGAAAAAAATACCTGAGAATAAAATGCAGAATGTCGAGGTAGATCTATGTCTGCACTGAAAGAATTATTTGCAAGTTTAGGCAAAGGGAAAGACTGTCTAAAATCCACTTCCTCATGAACAGGAATTACAGGAGGAGAAAAGTTTGTGTCATGGCCAAAAAAAGACCCAGACCACATGCAAGACTCCACTACCCATCACAAAATAGCCACCATGTCCTAACAGATGAAAAAGCACCTGATGACATTGCCCTAGCATATCCAGAGTGAATATAGTTCAGATGTTCAACACCAGATGGTGTGGATATGACCATTTCTGTGTAATTCATGTTGTGGAAAATAAGATCCACAAGGTCTGAAGAGTATTGTTTAAAAATAAAAACAAAAAATATTTCCATAACAGTGGCTTTGTAAATACTTCAACCAAATACTGATGTTGAGAAACTTCACATGAGCAAAAAAAAAAGACATGTCTTAACACACAAGTAACAAATCAAGAAGTGATGATTGAACAATCAGTATAGAGCAAGCTAGCTGTGCTAAGGCAGAGTCCCACTCCTATTGGTGGAGGTTTGTCACATGCTCATTTGCATGCAAAAACACAACAATACCCCATGGAAACACATGAGTAGGTGGGTCTCAAGGCTTTTGCCAATCAAAAGTGTTTACATATAGATGGCAGCACTGAATCAGAAAAAGCTAGATGAGAGAGGTTATGTATCATATATATCCAATTTTCAACTTTTTTCAAATATATGACTTAATGTAATAATCAATTTGTATGAAATCTTATGATATGCTTTCACAAGCTCAAACAAAAAACACCTAAAAGAATGCAATAATCCAAAAAATAATGCCTTATCAAAAAACGGAAAGTAGTTTAAAAAAAAAAGTCACTCCCTGAAAGCATGTTCCATCTGATAAACCTTGTGTTGAACCTTATCAAAAGCATATTGAAAGACAAAACATATATTATACACAAAGGTGTGTTGATCCAAAGTAAAATTAGCCATATTAAAGAATATCAGTAAGTTACTGAGGCAACAAAACATATTCCTAAAGCCCTGAAGATGGTAATACCTATAAAACTACTAAACTACACATCTTATACTTATTATATACTTAAAGGAGGGATTACTGTAGCATTTAGTTGTATACTTGTGTATGAATATTTAAATAATATCTCAGTACTTTGGTTTACTTGTATTGATCAAAGTTTTCAAACTAAGTTAAAAAAGTTAAATTACATCAAGTATTGATAATATAAATAAATATGATTTTAATAAACTGAAGAAATTAATTATACTTGTAGTATACATTCCTCTTACTGCATTGTTGTAGCTAGTGTGTATGTGCTTTTGAAACAAACTGTTATCTCATATCTGTCATTTGACTATAGTCTTTGTAAATATGTGACATTAAAGACTGCTTGTTATGAATTTAAATGCACGATCACCCTTTATTTCTGAAGAGTCAAAGTTTAAAATCACTTCAATTAAGCAGCAATGTGAGTTAAATATAGAATTTTTGTTATACCATAACATATATGTGTGTGTGTGTGTATTTTTCTCCAAGGATGCATCTCTCCAGAATACACTGAGCTGTATACTCCTCACAGTCTTTACACTTCCAGTGTTTAGAATTTGTCTTCCGATCTATGTTTATTAATAAAAATCTGCTCTAGTAGAGGTTTAAGTAAAACAGCACATTGGCTCTAAATTGCTTTTCTTACCAATATAACACTTGCTGGATAATTTCTTTCAGTATTTGGTAAGAGGGTTTTTACCTTATGTTTAATTATTTTAAGGTATCATAGGACAACCTTATATATAATATATATAAATGATGGGTAGCTGTTCAGTAAATGTACAGATTAATATTGGTGCTTTACCTGTCTGCTAAACTAAATGGAGAAAAACATTCATATAGAAAGCAGAAATGGAACATATGAACATAGCATTTCCAAAAAAAGCAGCTTCACCACTTGCTAGTAAAACACATTGATTTTTTTAGTTTGCTTATCTCTTCAGAAATGCATCTATACAGATAAATATGATAAGAGAGTTAGCAGACAAAACTGAACACCAACAAAAATCATGCTGTTATTCCTAAAATGCATTTTTATTCATGATTTAAAACAGTGTCTACTAATTTTCTTGTCATAACAGCATTGTTCACTGTGAAGTTTTGCAATTTGTTTATCCCTATAGAAAAAATAACATACTTGGGAAATTATTTCACCATATTCTATAAGAGGTTCAAACTCAATGTGTTTTATAAAAAAAAGAAATTCCAGAATTCTATAGCACCTTCTATGCACTTACCTCAGCATAACAATAAGACTTTGAGGTTGTATCTAACATTTGAATACACACTATTTCTAAATATGACAGAAAACTTTAAGATCATTGCTAAAACATTTTCTGATTTTTTGTGAAAATGTACAGAATGCTCTCTCATGGTACTAGTAAATAATACATACAAAAGTAATATTTTTCATTGAACATGAGATAATCAAATAGTACACAATGTACAAATCACATTAACAGTAAAACTGAGAGTGTAATAGACAAAATAAGTCATACCTGACAAATATATCTCAATATAGTAACGAACAGTGAAAACTGAATTAAGAATTCTCCAATTAGGAGTATAAACTATAATATTAAAATACTTAGTACTCATCTCACTATCTTATTGTACACAAAATTTGTCGAGGCATGAAGAAGATTTGTCACAGATTCTCAAATAGAATACATTAAATTGTCCAATGGTAAGTTTCTTGTAATTGTTAGATCGTGATATACGTACATGTAAAAATGATAGGCAAGACTCTGATGTCAAATTCTTAGACTTACCTCTGAACATTTTGCTCGCCATTTGGAATTTTTCGAAGTTTTCTTTTTTTCAAAATTTTAACTGCTCGGCGACAAAGCGTTTCCGAGTCCAACATTTCTTTCACTTTTCCATAAGATCCTTCACCTAAAACATCTCCCATTACATATTTTCCTATCATTTTAGCTTTCTTTTTTCTCGCCTGATAAATTATTTCTTTAGAATTCACTCGATGAAAAACCAGTGGTCCATCATCGTCATTCAACCACGAATCTATGGCCAAGGTTTCCATTTCGTCGTCATCTTCAAATAACATGGGAAAAGCCGGTCCGTCGACTTGCACAACTTCTTCTTCAGGATTCGCCATTACTATTGAAAATTTCAAAATCAAACTTGAAGGGTAATATTTACGTATTACAACTACAAAAAGAAATTGAAAATCTTTATAACACACTTCTTTCCCAGCGAGATGCCCTCCATGATGCTCAGCTGAGCAACCCCCGGTTAATCTCGGTCACACCAACTACGATTACTAAATATAATTTAACGCATATGAGTACTGTAACAAATCATATAACTTTAGTATAAGTTGTTATGTGCAAAAATACACAAATTGCTATATGCGCTAGGTCCACTGAAAGGGTCGAATCCTGAATTTTAAGGTTATAAGCCCTCAAGCCTATAGTTGATCCCCCGGAGGTCAAGTAAATATTTATTAGAATATTATTAATCAGTATTCGTAAATAAACAAAAGATTATACGGATTTTCTTTTTAATCATAATGTCACAGACGAGTTTTTTAAAGCTTTGAGATGTTTTACATTTTTATATTGAATATATGAATAATATTGTAAATAATTTGTATTATATGCCAATACTTTTTTTTACCGCGAATCAGTAATACGTTTACTGACTTATAATGCTAAAATCCGGGGCTCGATTCCCTGCATTGGACAGAGTGAAGATAGCCCATTGTGTAACTTTGTATTACGAAAACAACAGATGTTTATTTGTATTGTATATTCTGCGCTAACATATCTATTTTTGCTCTGCCCACCACGGGGTTTCTGCGGACTTACGATGCTGCCCCCCAGTGGCACAGCGGTATGTCTGCGGACTTACAACGCTAGAAACCGGGTTTCGATACCCGTGGTGGGCAGAGCACAGATAGCCCTTGTGTAGCTTTGTGCATAATTAAAAACAAACAAAACAAACAAACAAACTTACGATGCTAGAAATCGGGTTTCGATTACCACTGTGCCACTGAAATATGTTGAATAATGGTGCTTGAAACTCTACTTTTTCTAGTTTCAATACAAATTGCTTGAGAAAAATAATCTGATATTTAGATTCGAAATTGGCAACATATGCGCTTTGAATATTTTGAATCAAAGGACTTATAAAAAAAGAAGATGAGTTAAATATTGAAAGTGGACCACAATACGAGATCAGTGAAGTCCGAGAGCACTGATCTCCTGATGTTGGTCTTATGCCATCAACCAGGACAGCTGATCTCCAACCACGATCATTGTCACCCATGACTATATGAGGAGAGGAGAGGTACTGCTTGTGAATAAGGTTCACCATTTGAAGCTGTTTTGCTTATAACGGAGACGTTGTTGTTCGTAGGTGGAGAAAAAAAACTCATGAGGCATTCGTAAGTTTCTCTGTCTAGAGATATGTTCTGTTAAAGCTATTGTGCTTGTGGAAAATCCTGAGATTCTGTAGAACATGAAGACCAGTTTCATATGGCAACTCAATATTCTTCTTTCCAGGAAAAATAGCGAAAGTTCATCTAAAAATATGAACCCTGAATACCAATAAAACCTCAGATCTCTGTTATCATAGGTCTCTCAGTCGCGTGTTGGTCAAGATAATTATGGAGATGTCTTCTTTCTATAGCCACCTGTCCCTGTTGTCGAGTTGAATTAAATAGCTCTTCTGACATTCTAGTATAGAACCGAATAATACCTGGACCATTTTCTTAAACATTTCAAGCAAAACATTGCTTGGAATGACTAAACTTAGGAACAAGTAATTCAATTCCTAATATTATGTTGTTGAAGTCAATCAAGCACCTGGACAAGGAGAATCTCAATGGCTAGGGCACTGTCATAGCTGAATAGGGCCAATACTTTGACCTAGTGAAGAACAGAGCTATCTACTGGGTTGAGGTCAAGACTCATAAGAGGGGGAGGGGGTCTTTCATATAACATGGCCATTAATGTGGGGATTTGCAACTGCCTTCAATACCTCACCCAGACACCACTCTGGAAAGGAGGACAAAATCATCTGCATTGACTTAGGACTAGTAAGCCACTATAGATGAAACTGTCCATATCTTTTTTCAACAATAAGACAGGAGAAATATGTGCACTTCTATGTGACTGATCAGTAGATACACAAGGATTGGAGGTAAGCTATGGCTACTTCTACTATAACTAAAAAAAAAGAATGGCACCCAGGTCTAATTTGGCCTTCGACTTAGGGAGAGGCAAAAGTCAGCTCTTGTCCAAAGATTTGGTGGTTAGTTCAGCTCGTATATGGTTGGGTGGTGCTTGGTATGCTCCAATAAAAATACACAGCAGTGAGTTGTATTTCTTGGTTAACACGGGACTTAACAGAATAGTAGTTAACCTGTGATGTATCAGGCCCTCTGAGAAAAGCCACCACTCTAGCCAGTCAATATATTGTTACGTCTCCGTTCGTTAGTTAATTTTCCGTAAATTCGTTCCGACGAAACTTTAGCGACACAGGTCCTTTCTTAAATAAAACTGGTTTATTCTTTCCGAATACAACTTTACGATACACTTAATTTCAACAGTCGCTCTATAACAAACGCTATAATTCTCAACGAACGTCTCATGTGTCCAACAATATTCTCTCTGGCAGAATACATTCAATTACTCAACCTCCCCGTCGCTTCGTGGCCTGTCTTATATATACAAGACTACACTATATCTAGAAGGATCACGAGATTTAAGGAAAGGACGTGAATGTTCGAGAACGACGTGGCGTGATACTAGTCACGTGACCTCGATGTCGTAACAATATACTTTGGCATTCCATCCCTATCAGAGGCCTATCTCACTTCTTTGGTTTGCTTTTCCAAGCAGTACGGATGAGCCATAAATGCGGCAAAACTAGATTAATGCAGATGTAGTAGGGAAACAAAGAAAGGTTTAGGCCTCTATGTCATTCATGGATTCTTTTTTCTTCACTGAAGTTACACGTTTTAATGTAAACAAAAGAAAAAATTCACAGTTTTAGCAAACTGTGACTGACTACATTTGAGAGGAGAGAAATGTTTCCAACTATGTCTTGGTGTTGTCACTCACTGGTCGAAGGTATTTGTGTCTTATCGTGGTTCAGACATTAAGATTTAGACAATAGATGTACTACAGAAACTGTAAAACCAGTTTTGTCTGAGCAACAAGTGAACTGCATTTCTGTGGAAAATCTTTCAATGCTATCCAGATCAGACTCAAGAACAGTGGACTGCATGAGTGTACCATGAGGAGGGATTCAAACTAGCTGCAAATGCAGAAGTGATGTTCAATGATATAATATGGAATTCACATAGTGCATTATTGCCTTACGCTGTGGTGACAAAACTAATGCATGAAACACACTCCTACTTGTCCAGAAAGCATGCTGCATTTGCTCGAACAATTATCTAAATAAGTTATGACATAGTACTGGTGTTGATCTGTAATTACAGGCATTTCATTATTCATCTTCCCCCTGGAATGGTCACTGGCACAATTGATAAAGTGGAAGTAGCCAGAACTATCCTTACAGCTAAAGCTGATTATGTTATATTTCATCGAGGAGTAATCACATGTTTGTTACAATATTTAAGATTGTTGGTCAAGGATTGGGCAATAAATTTGTATTCAACACAATGACAGAAATTTACTGAGTTATTAGTTGAATATGCCAACATATTTATGGGACCAAAGAGCTATCCGGCTCAAACAACAGTAAATCACTATCACATGTATACAAATGATTCCACGTAGGCTTCACTGGAGCACTAGAAATGCGTTTAGCATTAAAGTACAGTGGATGTTGGAGTATGGAATCATACAACATTCAGAGAGTGTTTGGTCATTTCTGATAGTGTTACGTCTCCGTTCGTTAGTTAAATTTCCGTAAATTTGTTCCGACGAAACTTTAGCGACACAAGTCCTTTCATAAATAAAACTGGTTTATTCTTTCTGAATACAACTTTGCGATACACTTAATTTTAACGTTCGAGAAGGACGTGGCGTGATACAAGTCACGTGGCCTCCGATGTCGCAACAATAGCAATTGT